GCAGAGGCCACTATGTATGACTACATCATTTCCTATTTATGGGTAGTCAAGTAACAGAAGGCTGCCAAATAAGCACTAGCATGTTGTTAAGCTGGCAATAGATGGAGCAATTTTCCTGCAACCATAGGGGTAGGGGGAGCCGTCCCCACCAGAAGAACACACATGATTATTGCTAGAAGCTGTAATAGCCACTAGCAATAATCTCATGTAAAATCTGACAGGCTGGTTGTCCACAAGTTTATCAATCTATTGATCAACTTGGGTACATTCAGCCTGCCCATACATGGTTCGAATCTCGGTTGGTCCCTGCTGAACCGGCCAAGATTTTAACTGTCTATGGCTGGCTTTACCCAATGTACAGGTTACTGTCTACAATACCTACATGACAATGATGGTACTGCACATCCATAGAGCATAAATCTTTAAAAAGATGGGAACTTTGTAGCAGACAGCAAACTCTACCTTTACAGTGATAGAGTTAGGGCCATATAACTTAGAGAGGTAAATGTGATACAGTGCAACAACCATTAAAAGCCTTAGAGATAGAATAATGAATGGTGCCATTGCAATCAGATCCAATGGAGAAGATACATCAGCAGCACATCAACATGCTTGCCAAAAGCTTCTTATTGCCAAATCAAAGTTTGCAAGGTTTTCAGGCCACACCACTTATTAGATAGGAGTGACATGAGTTAGGGCCAAGTTACATGACTAATCCTTGAGCTGCCAACAACAGGAACTATACGATACCAACTACCTACTCTGGTGGCATCTCACTAACCAGAAGATTGCAGTATTTTACTCATCAGCAAGAGTGATACCTGACTTGTTATTTTAGTAAGGGAGCAATGCTGTAGGAGCAGATAAGTGGACTCTTTAGTGACCCTCTTGCTAGCAAGTTACCCTCAACAAAAAGACAACAATACAGAGCTTTGTAGGGCTAATTTGCAAGGTAACACAATGAACTGTGTAAAGCCGGCCATAGATGCTTTGAGTCTTAGCCAGTTCAGCAGGGAAAGACTGATTGCACAAAGTTCGATTATTGTACCACTAAGGTACAACCAGCCTGTGGGATTTTTCATGCAATTATTAATTAATGCAATTAACCCGTAGTTGCAGGAACAGGAAGAAAAATTGCATTTTCTATACTGTGGTTATTCATGCAACTTTGTTATCAGACTTCACTACAGTAGATGCAGAGGAAGCAATTATGCTTTGGCCCATAAGGCTATAGGGGCCAAATCCCACTACTCCTCTTCCCTTTATCTCATTATCATCAATATACTGTAGTTAGATTCCCTGCTGAATACAGTATAATTTCTCCTTCCTTTAAATCCCCTTTCTCATCTTTTTATTAGGTTTTATTAAGTTAAAAAGGAAACATTTTATATATAAAAATGTACTGCACTAAATAAGACTTTTTGTGCTTGAGAAAATGAGGAATAGAATTTCAGATGGTGTGCTCACTGGGTACTAATTTTACCATTTTACATGTCATATATATATTACATATATTTTAATATTTTAAGTGAACTTAGTATTTATATTTATTTTGTCATAGATCAAAAGGGCACGCCAAAATTCCTAACACCATTTATGATTGTGAGTAGAAGTTTAGTTATATCATAAAGTGTAACTAAAAGCACCACTTTTTTCTTTTGAATAGAGTAGAGAGGGATTAGAACACCTTTCAGTTTTTATTGCTATCTGCGAACCCATTAAGGAGATCCACCCTCTCTACTTGTCCTGCTTATCATTATCATCAAAAGTGAAAGTAAAAGAAAATCACAAATTTTGGGTTGACTTCAGAACAGCAATACAGAGGAAATCCTCCAATGGGGACACTAGTTCTGGTGACCTTGGAGACACACCGAGATTTCCTTACTTAAGAGGGATTTTTTCTCACTTCTTGTTTTGGCAATGCAACAGCAAATGAAGGCAAATCTCCCCTATGAGACACAGATGGCAGAGAAAAAATCAGAGAGAGGTTATAACCCTCCCTTACGCTATCCAAAATGAAAAAAAATTTGACTTTAGTTACACTTAAACCCCTTTGAGCCGGCGCCTCCTGGCCCTTTAAGAGTTTCAGAAGCCGGGAGGATGGCGGGGTTGTAGGGTCATGTGACCGCCGTGATTCGCTGTCACAGCTGTCACATGATCGGAAAAGGTCCCGATCGCAAGGCAAGGCCCTGATGCCGAGAGGCCACATATTTGCGTGCGCTGGGCGTCTAGGAGTTAATGTTGCCTTGTGTACACATCTGCACACAGTTGCCTTCTTAAGTATGTCAAGTTTATTTGTTATATGCAACCTATACGTTCTGCATGTTTTCCTATTTTCTAAGCAGAGTAAGCCCTGGTTCACACTGAATGCAGCTTTGAAATCTCACTATTTCACTTGAAGTAGCACAATTTCAAAGCTACTGGTTACTGCAATTTCATGTGTGGCTTGCCTGACCTCTGTGTGACTTCATGCATAGATGGCTATGCAAGTCGCACATGAAATCACCATAAATAGTGCAGGAACCTTTTTTCAAAATCGGTGCCGCATCGCTAAGTCAGAGTCGCACCGTTTTTGAATGGTTCCATAGGCACAACTAGGGTGCGACTTGTCATGCGATTTGGAACTGTCAAATCACATGACAAGCTGCACCAGTGTGAACCAGAGCCAACACAGTTTTTCCTTTCCTATATAAGCAAATTTGTGTTTAGTATTTGTTAAAAAGAAGGCTTCTATGAAAATTAAATTCTTACAGATCTTTAAAGCAGAACTACACTACATCTGAGCAACCGGTTTCTAAAGCAAGCAAAGTCCTCTCTTGTATAAAAAGAGGTGTAGACTCCAGAGAGAGAGATCTCATATTACCCCGGTACAAATCATTAGTAAGAGCTCATCTGGAATATGCAGTTCAGTTTTGGGCACCAATTCACAAAAGGAACATTAGCTAACTGGAGAAAATACAGAGAAGGGCAACCAAACTGATAAGAGGCATGGAGGAGCTCATCTATGAGGAAAGATTAGAGGAACTGAATGTATTCTCTCTTAAGAAGAGGAGATTAAGGGGGGATATGATCAACATGTATAAATACATCAGTGGGTCATATAGTGAACTAGGACAAGTAGGCACTCTTTACATCTGGAGGAAAAGAAATTTAATCTCCAAACATGGAAAGGTTTCTTCACAGTAAGAGCTGTGAAATTGTGGAATAGACTCCCTTAAGAGTTGGTTCTGGCTAGCTCAGTGGACTGATTTAAAAAAGGCCTGGATTCTTTCCTGGATACACAGAATATAACTGGATACTAACATTCATAGGTAAAGTTGATCCAGGGAATATCCGATTGACTCTCGGGGGATCAGGAAGGAATTTTTTTCCCTGCAGGAACAAATTGGATCATGCTTTGCTGAGTTTTTTTGCCTTCCTCTGGATCAACTGTGGGTGTAGGATTATAACTTTTTTTTTTTAATGGTTGAACTGGATGGACTTTTGTCTTTTTTCAGCCAGACTAACTAAGTAACTATTTAACACAAACCAAAAATGCTGTTTAATTCATTTTTAATATTCAAAGCAAACTCAGCCATCCATCCATGCCTCCATGCTTTATACTGCTGAGAAATCACTTTGAAATATACCCCCTAGCACTTCTGAATTCTGGTCATCTTGAGTAATGAGTAATCAGATGGTTCATGTAGAATTTACTTCCTGGTATTCATCTGCTCTTAGCTCAGGCATACAGGCAGTAGGGTGTGCTTAGCCGTGAAAACCCCTCCTCCCCTCCTAAAGACTTCTGGGAAGTATGACATTTGTCTAGGTTGGGAAACCAGGAAGTAACAGAAAATATGTAAAAAAAGTTTAAAATATGTAAGCAGGATATATTTTCCTGTCTATTTACTAATAATAGCAGCATATGGAATAAAAATAGTCAATGTTTATTGAGTGAGTGAAGTTCCGCTGTAAGTAAAGGGGTCAGGAACTTAAAAGATAACAACATACAGTATCTTAAAGTGGTTGTAAACCTCAGACATGAAATATGAACAAAGCATATCCCTCTGTCGTATGTATGTGTTTCAATCCAGAGCACTAAGTGTCATTTTTCTTTTACTTCTGCTTCATTCCTTTGCTGTCAGCATGAATCACTTCTTACAAGTTTCCCTGACACCAAGAGAAAAATGGTGACAGAGGAGGGACCTTCAGCAGATTTACAGCCTCAGCTCTGAGAGCTGTGTGGAGGTGGGGGGGGGGGTCCCTTCCCTCCAATCGGCTCTCAGAAGAGAAGACTGCCAGTAGACAGGTACATCTTATGTAGAAGGATTTGTTTCACCTCTGAGTATCACCTGAGGCCAGTCACTTCACTGGGTATATGTAAGGGTTTACTTTCATGTTAAGATAAACCTGAAATTAGGGTTGGAAATATTTTTCTACATGCAATGAACCCGACTTTGAGCAACCTAATGGAAGGACAATACAAATAACATCTATTTAAAAACCATGTAAAAAGACCACCCAGACCATCTTTCTTGCTCTGTTCAAAAACAGTGCAGGGGCAAGGAATTGAGTTTAAAATGAAATCAACTGCATCAACCAATTGAAATTTATTTTGCTGACGCCAGAGCAGCATGGCATGAACTCTGATTGGCTGCTGTGTTTATTACACAGTGCACCCAGCACTTTACTCATTTTGCTTTTTTACTTTTTTATCAAATCCACTGGTTGGTCTTGGTCACGTCACAGGTTTACAAAGCAATTACAGTAGAGGGATGAAGAAAAATGGCCAACTCTAGCTTGAAAGGCTGATAAAACACAACAGGTTTCCTGAAGTTTCCTGAACTGCAATGAAGTATAAAACATATGCTAACAAGTAATTCAATTTCATATCTGAAGAAGACAAATGTTAAAGTGTTACTAAACCCATGACCATAAATTCAGTCTGTATATGTAGAAAAGCATGCTTGTTATACTCAATGTGGAACCAAAGGGGTAAATCCTCTGCATTTTTTAAAAAAAGGATGTTTGATCCTGTCTTCCCTGATCCTCCCCTTCATCCACAGCCCCCAATCCATCTGCTGATAGAACAGAGCCTTAGAAGCAAGCTGCACATGCTCAGTTTGGTGTGTATATTGCTAGAGAGGTTTTTTTTTTTTTGTCTTGGGAGAGTGCATGTGATCAGCACAGGGCCAATCAGCACTGTCCAGACAGAGGGTTTAGGGGTCCTGCAGCCTCATAGGACAATCAAGGGAGAATGAAAACTCCTCCTACAAGCTTTAACCAGTGCTCTGCTGGACACTGATAGAAGTCACAAGACTGCTCCAGCTGCTGATGAGAAAAGGTATTTATCAGTTTATATTTACTAAAATAATTTAATTTCCATGTTCTGTGTACTGTGGGAGACCAGAATTTTGACTTAGTGGGATTTAAAAGAAAAACACTGTCAGTATGATGAGCAAGTCTAACTCTTAATATTTGAAACTGACTCAAGGAATACTTTTTCTCTTAGAAGAGTACTGAACTCCTGGACTTTGGCAGCCAAACAGTTATGGTCAAAATAATAAGTTGAAAACGTGGAGTCACAGAGGAACATATAATTTAACGGAACAACAGATGGATTGTGTTTTCAGATCACGTGCATTATAAATAATACGTATCAAAACCACTTCACTGGAAACTGGAAATTGAGCTCACAGATAACAGGGACTCCATTCAGATTAATGTAGGAAGCTTACCAATAGGAGATGAAAGAAAACATGAAATATTATTTAAGTCTACAACAGTAGGCAACAAGAGTGCTCTTAAAGTGAATGAATGTCGAGTCACAGTTAAATTAAATAGACAGCATTAAAGCAACCAAAGTATCCAGCAGTGCCTTCTTTATGAATTAGGTCAGTGGCTCTTGTAACTGTTATGTGCCAAGATAGTGGAGGATTGCAGCTACCTGAAGCCCCAGACTTGGGTTAGGGAGGTTGGATGGGGCGCGAGGCCCTGGCAATGCTAAAAAAAATTCTGTTTGTCGTACTCTTCATAGGTAAGTTGGCCAGTAGATTTCTTTTTGCTCAGCCTACTGGCTAAAAAAAAATTTCTAACAGGTTTCTCTAGCCAGTGCAAATGAATGAATCTCCCACTGACATTATGGTATTCTGAAAGCTGGCCTTGTAAACAGTGCCTGCATCTGATTGGATGCCTTCAAATTTCCACGTGACGTCTTTGATTTTTCAGCCGAAAGATCTCGGGTGAGAGGGTGCCACACATGGCACATGGAACAAAAATTTCTATATACATTGACCTTTATGAATGCTACAATTTAACTGGTGATAAGGGCATGAATACATCCTAGTCACATCTGAATGATGTTGGTCTTTCGCTCCATGTCATGTGATCATATAGTAAAACGTAAGGCTAGAATATAATATTGGACACAGCATACTGGGCTCCATTCACAAAATTCGATTACATGCAGTATTTAGGACATATGACACATTTTCCCTAATATTGCTTGCAATCCTGATATTGTGAATTCAGTATGTGGTATTTACCCCAAAACTGTCAAAATGCTCGGTAACTACCACATAACAAGAGGGTAAAGTTAATTCACAGAAAGAAAAAAATAATTAAATGCATGCAGTAATTAAAGTGTTACTAAACCCAGGACCCTGTACTCACTATATCTGGTCTACCACAGTACACAGAACATAGAAATGCAATTATTTTAGTAAATATAAACTGCTAAATACCTTTTCTCATCAGCAATTAGAGCAGTCTTGTGACTTCTATCAGTGTCCACCAGAGCACTGGTTACAACTTGTAGGAGGAGTTTTCATTCACCTGTAGCAGGACTTTTAAACTCTGTCTGGAGAGTGTTGATTGGCCCTGTGCTGATCACATGCACTCTCCCAAGAAAAAAAAAAACTCTCTAGCAATACACACCAAACTGAGCATGTGCAGCTTGTCCCTAGCCTCTGTTATATCAGGAGATATTTGCGAGAAACTGGAAGAAGAAGAGGATCACTGAAGACAGGATAAAACATCCTTTTTACAGAATGTGGAGGATTACCCCTTAGGTTCCACAGTGAGTATAACAAGCATTAATACAAACAAAAAAGAATCGTGTGCTGGCAATGTGCTGAAAAAATACAAAAATAATCAGCTGCTGCAGACACGTGTTATGTGGTAAGCATAAAGACAAAATAAATAAAATAAAATAAAGTGTTGCGCTGCTGACAATGAATATAAATATAAAGACAGACTTAAACGTGACTAATAGTCCCAAAAGGTGATGAAAAATACATTCTTCAAAATATCAGGAAAGGTGGAACATCTTCCTGCTGGTGATTGCACCCAAATTCCCAGTGCTATAAGTCTTTAATAAACGTAAATCACCATAGCGAACATATACATCCAGGTGGACTCTCACCTTCTCACATGGACTTGTATGTGAACACAGGTCAGAAAAGCGTCTCCAATATTAGTATATTAATATTAACACATAGTTTGTTCCTTTGTGGGCAATCGTCCCCTTTATGAATCACCGCTGAACCTTCCAAATAGCACCTGAAATCAGTACAGCCAACTCTGCACGCAAAAGGGGAAGTTCCGCTTTAAGGACTGCTCCCCCGCTCCTCATTAAGGATTGGCACCTTTGGGGGGTGGGGGGGAGCAGGTACCCTAATTTGACAGGTACCCGCTCCCACTTCCAGCCCCATCGCCTATGTGATCGGAAGAAGAAGGTGTCCTTCCTCCCTCCCTCCCTGTAATCTTTTGGGACACGTGACAGGTCCCAGAAGACTACAGGACCATTCATAAAGAGCAGCTCTTCTCGCGCATGCGCAGTGGGTACCCGGCTGTGAAGCAGCAAGCTATCACAGCCGGGAGCCCACACTGAAGATGCCGGCCTCCTGGAATACAGGACAGCCGGTGAAACGGCTGCAGGGGACACACCGCGGGACTGAGGGACAGGTAAGTGGCTGTTTTTTAAAAGTCAGCAGCTACAGTTTTTGTAGCTGCTGACTTTTATTTTTTGACAGCATGAGTGGAACTCCGCTTTAAGTCTGTGCCTGAGCTTCTTTGTAAAGCATCAATGCAAAATAAAATTCCTGCTGGAAAACCTTATTTCCGCTACTTGTATTTATGACTCATTTAGTTTGGCAAAACCACAAATTATTCACGACTCCTTGGTTATGATAAATTACAGAAGAAAGATAAAATATATTGAGCATTACATGGAGACGCAGCAATATATTAACCATTGCCCAGCATAATGTAATCTGCATTACTGATGAGCGAGCTGAGCACAATTCGGTTCGCTGGAAGTTTTCTGAACAAAATTTGCAGACCCCAAACATGGCACCTGAACCTCATTGACATCAATAGCTGCTGAATCTTTTTTTTTTTTTCTGGCTTTTTTCAAGGCCAATCTCCACTGCCATAGGTGATGTGTACCAATGTATTAAAAAAAAATGTTAAAATGTTGTTCAGCGGAGAACAAGTTTTTATAATAGGGCTTTCCTTTATATAACATGCTTGGGGGATGCCATAAACCTACACGTGAAGTGCCACACCTGTAGGATGTACTTCAGCAAATGTGACATTAACCACTTAAGGACCACCGGCCCACAATTTACTGTGAACAGATGGCCCATACAGGTACAACGATCTACCTGTACGTCGCTGTCCTCTTCCAGGTACAGGGCCCCCATCCACCAACTTCTGCTATGATAGTACACAATGAGAGTTTGTCAGCAGGTCACATCCAATGATCTATGGCTAGGACCTGCTGATCAGCTGTGTACAATCAAAGCCCAGAGCCCTGTGTTGACAATCAACACAGATCTCTGTACAGAGGGAACAATCTCGTTGTTTCTTCTTCCTGCAAAGCAGGGAAAAGGAACAAATAGATTTTTAGTAAAAAGCAGCACATAATACGCACAATATTTGTTAGGCACACAATTAACCCCTTGATTACCCCAAGATGTTAACCCCTTCCAGGCAAGTGTCGTTAGTACAGTGACAGTGTATAATATTATCACAGATCACTGTATTAGTGTCACTGGTGATATCAGTGACTCAGTTCCTACCCAGTGTCAATTAGTGTCAGATTGCCCGCCACACTATGACAGTCCCACTATAAGTCACTGATCACCACAATCACTAGTAAAAAATAAAAAAACTCCAATATATATATTTATTTCAGGTACTTATGTAGCACTTTACATATATATATATATATTGAACATTCACATAAGTCCCTAACCCTCAAGGGGTGTACAATCTAAGGTCCCTAACTAACATTCATACACAAATTAGGGCCAATTTAGACAGGATTCAATTAACCTACCAGCATGTCTTTGGAGTGTGGGAGGAAACTGATGTAAACCCATGCAAGCACAGGGAGAACATGTAAACTCCATGCAGGAGGCGCCATGGTCGAGAATCAAACCCATGACCCATTTACTGCAAGGCAGACGTGCTAACCACTAAGCCACTGTGCCACCCCACGCTGATATATCCTCATTTATAGACGCTATAACTTTTACACAAACCAATCAATATACACTTATTGGAATTTTTTTACCAGACATGCAGCAGAATACATTTTGGGCTAAAATTATGAAGAAATTGGATTTTTTTTTTTAAATTTTAATGGATAGGTTTTATAGCAGAAAGTAAACGGTATTGTTTTTTTTTGTTTTGTTTTTAATTGAGCCTTTTTTGTTTATAAAATAAAAAAAAAATAAAAACACAGTGGTGATCTAATACCACCAAAAGAAAGCTCAATTTGTGTGAAAAAAATACATAAATTTCGGTTGGGCACAACATTGCATGACTACACAATTTCTAGTTAAAGTAGCACAGTGCCGAATAGCAAAAAATGGCATGGTCATGAAGGTAGCAAAACCTTCCAGAGCTGAAGTGGTTACATTTAAAAAATTGCTGCTAAATGACATTTCCTCCCCAGGGGCTCCTGTTTGTAACCATATATGATCAATGACATCAACCAGAATTACTGACTGGCTTATTTACATTCAGCAGACAGCCAGGGAGCTGTCAATCACAGCGAAAGTCCAACGGGAGAAGATCTTTGATGCAAGGCATCATGTTTGTGTCATCAGGTGTCCTTCATCATGATTGACAATATAAATCTACATTGCTGAACAATGTAATTGCACAAGGATTTACACAGTGGGATATTCCTTTTTTTATTCTATTTCTTTAAAATCAAATTCTGTTTCTACAATGTGTGTTTATTTTCTTGGGTATTTAATCACAATAAGGTTGTCTTGGATGTACTCTCTCTCTCTCTCTCTCTCTCTCTCTCTCTCTCTCTCTCTCTCTCTCTCTCTCTCTCTCTCTCTGTCTCTCTCTCCA